CAGTATGTTTCCGACTTCTTTGTACTGCAAAAGCCCTCGCAATATGCATCGAGAAGCCGGAGCTGTGTGTTCAAAAGAAAGAATTAGTCCAACCTCTACAACTACCATGGACGACCTAGTTTAATATGTTCCCTTTGCTTCCGTTTTATTTTCTCTTCTTCGTCTTTTTTCGTTTTCGCTTTTCCTTTTGAGCATTTTTTCGTTCGCCGTGTGTGTGTCTGATCCTTAGTCCCTCAGTCTTCATTAGACCCACCTAATTTTTTTTCAGTTATAAAAACAGTTATTTTAATTTTGTTTCTATGCTTTTCCTGTTCACATTTATAATTTGTTTGGAATAACTATTTTACAATTATATCTTAATCCTGTGCAATTTTTCTGTTTCTTAGGCTTTTGTAATCTTAAAATATATTAGTTATTATTTAAAAGACGTTTGTAAATATATCCGAATCATCAACTACATTTAACTCGAAATGCATAGAAATTTACAGTAATCCACATGAATTTCACTTCATGTGAATTTAAGCGCTGTCACAGGAAAACGAATGCCTTACACACATACACATCCACATACACACACAACTTCAATATTCATATGACAGAGAACTTGTGAACTCTTATCCCATGGTGGTGCTATTCCACTTTCTCGTCAATTTAACTTTCCTTCTGAAGTTTTCAGTTGACCTTATGATGCGGTATTTTATAGATAGGCATATATATATACGCTATATTTTGCCTTTTTTTGTGTTCATTTTCTCCTTGTCAAAATTTATTAACAGCCACTACTTAAACCCAGCGGGATATTTTTTCTACCCACCAGTGTGTAGTTGATTTAAACAAACAAAATTCATGATATTATATTGAATCGCTGAATATAAAAACAAAACAATTTAGGTGATTATTTCTAGTTTTTTTTAAAATTTTTGTTTTTGTTTTGCTACAAAATGTCAACAATGAGCGATGACATTTTTCAACTACAACTTTCTTTAAGCTCACGACAAATTAAAAGTAAAATAAACTACCTTTTATTCAACCTTGAAAGGTATTTAAGTGGACAGTTCAAAATCACTAGGAAATCAACAATTTGTTCAGTGATTCAATTTCATTATAAATATGTGTTTAAAACAAAATATTTTCTTTTTGTTTAAATGTAGCAAGAAATTGTAGATGAATCCTTGTGTAGCCATAAGTGAGGGGTATGAATTTAATGAATTTCTGGTAGTTCAATGTAATCTGAAATAGGCTGGTGTATACTCATGAGGATTCCATAGATAAGTAGCTTCTGATCACAAAATAAGTTTTAAATTGTAGATTTCAATAGTTCGTTTGTAAGGATTAGATTTGTTTTGATGAAATGATCACAGATTGATACCAGTTAGAGAACCATTGAAAACCGGGAAGTACTGCACAGTCAGTTGTTTCGTCCCACTTCTCGATTCACTGACAGTATGCACATACCACCGACAGGGTTCGAACCCAGGACCTTCCGTTAACAAGGCAAGCACACATAATATTTAGTTACTGGGACCCGATTCTATGGCCCATAGATTCTAACTTCTACCAATTCGTTATTTAGCGCAATCACCAAAACAATATAATCGGTGGAAAATCCATCCTCACACCTGACTTAAATTACAGAGATAAGTTTTTATCTCAGGCGAATGTTTTTAGTGTCACTGTGTTCTCTCAACTCAGTGGTTTTATTGCGTGGTGTTTACCGTCTTTCTAGACAACATCTTCATTGTTTAATTCAGAATAAAATAAGTTCTTGGCATTCTTTCTTCATAAACGTGATAACTATCTTCCCTGATGAATTTCACTGTGTGTGAATTCCTGCAGAGGATCCCTAGTTGACTTATTCAACTTATCATAGATGATCCCCATCCATTCAGGCATTAATGAAAACAAAACATGTAGATCACCGATCAATAGCTTGTTGATCGGTTCGTTCTCAGAGTTCCTTGTTGCCTCAGCCAGTTTTTGGAAATGCTTTCCGTACGGCGCGCACCAAGTTCTTGACCCTTATAGATGAACTGACTTGACATTGGTGTTGAAAATTCGAATTTTGTTTCTTATGCTGTTCAGAAAACTTCCAAACTTCCAAAGGAGTCTTCATCCTCGCCACCTGTGGTTGGAACTATGCTTCTTCCATTGAAGAATACTGGTGCTGGTTGTTGTTGTTGTGGTGGTGGTAGTGGTCCGTTATTTATCTCCACCACCTCCGTCTTCTCTATGTTCACCTGAATTCCTGTCTTCGCGGCCTGTTTCTTCAGCCAATTTGTGAGTTTTATCCTTCAATCCTTTGAGCTTGTGTGACATTAAACATAAATCATCCACGAGTGAATTTCCAGATCTTCTACAGTCATGTTACTGGTGCAGCAAATTCCTGTCTTCCCGCTCCCCACATATGTTGTCTCATATAATTCAGTTCCCTGCAGAAACACTAATTTGATTGAAAAATCCAAATCTTACGCAAATAAAACGCAAAGAATACCAGGGAAATTCCCTGAGGCAGAAATGATGAATAGCAACACAGCTGAATAAAACAAGTAGATCAGCGAAGAGTCTCTTTCCGGCGGCGGTGAATTCATTTTCTTAGCTGTACAATCCCAAATATATACACATGTGTTATTTTGTATGTATGTGTACATTAAGTTTGTCAAACAAGATTACAACTGGTTATGGTTATTTTAACTAAACAGGTGAAGATTGGTAATACAAGTCAAGAAAATTAGGTGTTAATGAAATTAGGGTAGTAACAAAGGTGATGAGTTGTCGCAAACAGTCGTTGTTGAAAGAATTTATGTAATAATAATATGAATAGTTTGATGAGTGAGTTTTACTTAGGATACACATAGAAACAAAGTAGATAATACGAAATTATGTAAGAGATCTAAGTGAATACAAGAATTATAATTTCGTATTATCTACTTTGTTTCTATGTGTATCCTGAGTAAAACTCACTCATCAAACTATTCATATTATTTTTCACGATTTCATCATGAGCTGACATTAGTTAGAGAACCATTGGAAAACCTGGGAGTACTGGACAGCTGTTTCGTCCTAGTTTGGGACTCTTCAGCAGTACGCACCCACCGGGATTCGAACCCAGGACCTTCCGGTTACAAGGCGAGCTCGTATACCATTAAGCCACTGGGACCCGATCAATGGTCCTTGAATTCTAACTTCTGCCAATTCACGATATAGCGCGACCGCTAGCCAATGTCTTCGGCGAGTATTTGTCCTCACACCCGACCGGCTGCACCCTACTGGTCACGACTTCCCACTGGAACCCAGGTAACTACCTACCTGAATAGGGCCAGTCGCCAGTGAGCACCTTATTGGTATTCAACTAACACTTGAATATTCATATTATTATTACATAAATTCTTTCAACAACGACTGTTTGCGACAACTCATCACCTTTGTTACTACCCTAATTTCATTAACACCTAATTTTCTTGACTTGTATTACCAATCTTCACCTGTTTAGTTAAAATAACCATAACCAGTTGTAATCTTGTTTGACAAACTTAATGTACACATACATACAAAATAACACATGTGTATATATTTGGGATTGTACAGCTAAGAAAATGAATTCACCGCCGCCGGAAAGAGACTCTTCGCTGATCTACTTGTTTTATTCAGCTGTGTTGCTATTCATCATTTCTGCTTCAGGGAATTTCCCTGGTATTCTTTGAGTTTTATTTGCGTAAGATTTGGATTTTTCAATCAAATTGGTGTTTCTGCAGGGAACTGAATTATATGAGACAACATATGTGGGGAGCGGGAAGACAGGAATTTGCTGCACCAGTAACATGACTGTAGAAGATCTAGAAATTCACTCGTGGATGATTTATGTTTAATGTCACACAAGCTCAAAGGATTGAAGGATAAAACTCACAAACTGGCTGAAGAAACAGGCCGCGAAGACAGGAATTCAGGTGAACATAGAGAAGATGGATGTGGTGAAGATAAATAACGGACCACCACCACAACAACAACAACCAGCACCAGTATTCTTCAATGAAAGAAGCATAGTTCCAACCACAGGTGGCAAGGATGAAGACTCCTTTGGAAGTTTTCTGAACAGCATAAAAAAGAAAATTTGAATTTTCAACACCAATGTCAAGTCAGTTCATCTATAAGGGTCAAGAACTTGGTGCGCGCCGTACGGAAAGCATTTCCAAAAACTGGCTGAGGCAACAAGGAACTCTGAGAACGAACCGATCAACAAGCTATTGAACAGCGAATATTGCTCCAGTGGAAACAGAGTGGAAAACGTTGAGCTTGGCTTGTGTCCAAGGTTGACTTGGAGGTGATCGTACAAGGAGGAGGTGAGAGATCATGAGCAAGCATAGGGACAGCTAAAGAGGACTACAGAAAATAGAACAAAATGCAGACGGGCTGTTTAACCACTAATTTTCACTTGGATCTCAAGGGAACCACTGATAACTAAGTGATTGTTTCAGCGATGTAATTGAACCATATAATCTATTTAATCTTAATTTTATGTTTTCTGTAGTTGGTTTGTAAGGATTTGATTTGTTTTTCGAGTTTGGGTGCTTACTGCCGATGATTCCCAAACTAGGCTGATGAAACAGCAGCTGTCCAGTACTCCAGTGCTGCTTTTCAATGGTTCTCTAACTGATATCAATCAGTGATCGATTCGTTAATTTTATGTCTCACTATGTGAAGTATCCATCGGAGGAAGATTTTGTACCGAAATTTGATGAATTCGTTGAGTCCTGCTTTAATAACTCATATTTTTTAAATTCCTGCATGTGAGTTTCACTTATACTGTATAAGGGCTGATGATACTACTTAATTGTCTGGGATAAAGTTTATGCAGATGGATACCAAACTGAGACTTACAGGTGAAAGGTCAAGTGCTTAAGGAGAATGAATCGCATGTTCATTGTGCGATTAAGTTAATATGGAAATATTTTAATGTAGTAATTGTAAAACCATTTTTATTTTTCCTTTCCTTTCCCCTTCAGGCCGTAAACATTTTTATGCGAAACAACCCTACCATGAACAACATTTGATATCCTATCAAGGAATTTTACAAAATTGTCGACTACAAAGACAAGATCAGTCCGCTCTGAATCGGATGCGGTGATCTCTTTGGAGAATTACAAGTAAGATTCCATAATTACAATATAAATATTTATTTACTGATGAATATTGTTCCCGATATCCTTCGTCTTTTTAATATTCTGAAGATTTATGTGTATGTCAATCTGATAAGGTATAAATTTTATGCTCTTTCCATCTATGGGAGATTTCTGACTTAGATTATTTTCAATGAAGTTGGCTCGATTGCTACAAAGATCAGTTGATCTTCCGTGAGTACTCCCCGAAAACGAAACCACTATTGACTGATGGTAGATGTATGAAGGTTTTGGAGAAGAATTAAAAAATCATTGTTAATTTCCGTTACATGCATTCATTACATGCTCAACAAATTGATATGTGTATAAAATTTTGCCACTGTGATTGAGTATAACTTTATTATGGACAAGATTTTATTTTGATAAATCACACAGTGTTATACAGTAATATCTACTGACGAAGACAAGTAATTTAGAAAAAAAAGCTCAGCAATTGCACTGCATGCATTAACACATAACCACACAATAGGGTGGGAGAGGGTTAAAGTTCTGAGAAGTAATGTAGGTAGGTGGAGAGAGAGGTTGATTACTAAATCCTTCCGGGTTCATCGAGTCTACACCCAACGCATCCAGTAGAAGTGGCTCAAGGCAAATACCAGAGATGTTTAAGATATTATGACTGCCGGTCAAATCGGAGGATAATAAGTAATGTTAAAATGTATTCAATTCACGTTATAATAGTCTAACTAGTAACTTATTTATTTTACACTATAAAACCATCTAATTTTCCAACTTACTGTAATTTTTATTGATAAAACTATTATAATTTCCGAATAACCATCCCCACATTCATTACAGAGTATTCTGGTGGTTATGATTACTAAAGGACTTCTATAAGAGGCATCCAACTTATTTATTATTCATTATTTTGCCCTTCAATTCCTAGAGGAACATAGGGCTTCAGCCACGCGTCTCCATCGCCTTCTGTTTTCTGCCAACTTTTTCACCCCGCTCCAAGTCTGACCACATGCTTTCATCTCCTCTTCACATCATCTCCTCCAAATCACCCTCGCACCGACGACCAACTTGCCGCTTCCCATTCGGCCGGGTTCCACTCGAGCAATGGCTTGTCTAGTGATGTCAGTCACTTGGTGGTTTGTTTCCTCAGAGTATGACCAGCTAATCCATCTCCATTTCTTCCTGCCTATTTGCTGCACAATCGGTTCCCGCTTGGTTCACTCATTTCCAGAGATCTTGGTCTCTGATCTTTTCTGGCCGGCCATCTGATCTTGAGTATTGAGCGGAGACACCTAGCTGTAGATGAAGGTCTGTAGTTTGTTTGAGGTGCTCTTTATGACGCGCTGACCAAGTCTCTGATCCCTATAGTGAGTAGTACTGACTTCACATTGGAGTTGAAAATCCGGATCTTATATTCTTTTTCATGCTGAGTGCTGTTGACCTCCACACAGACTTGACGTGAGTAATGAAAGCTTGTCTTGCTTTTCCGATCCTCACTGCTTTGATATCCTCGTCAGCTCCATTCGCCTGTAGTTGAAACGATTCTTTGCAGGTAGGTAGGTATAGGAGGTTGATTCTTTCAGGTTCCTCCCATTTATGCAGGCTGATTGTAGTCTGTTGTTGTTGTTGTTGTTGCTGAGGCTGTTGATGTTGGCCAGGAATCTTCATCACCTCCACTGTTTTCTCTATGTTCACCTGAATTCCTATCTTCTCTGGGTGCTTGTTCTGCCAACTTGTTGCTTTTCACTTGCATGTCTTCGAGTTTGCGGGAAATCAGACGTATATCATCGGAGAAGTCCAGATCCTCCAAGGTTTTTGTGTGAGTCCATTTTATGCCTGTTTCCTCATTTCCCTTCCCACTGTCTGTCGCATTATCCAGTCTACTGCAATCAGGAAAATCATTGGTGATAGTAGACAGCCTCACCTCACTCCCGTCCTCACTTCGAAGGATTCCGTATGTTTCCCGTTGTGGACTACTTGTCGTGCAGCATTGTCGTATAACTGTTGGGAGGCATCCAAAGACACTGAGTTATTTAGTGATGTATAAATATTTGTGATTTCTGAAAACCATTTTAATATCAACCGAAAATGTAAAAAAGCTCAAAATCTTGTGCATAAACTATATACTGTATGTCTGTCTGTCCGTTTGCTTTCGACGTAGTAGTTTGCACCGATGTGCACCAGTCCAAGTCGCCCCACACTCCCTCCGTGTAGCACTCAAAGCAAGAGAAGAGAGTAAAAGAAATACATAAAAGACTCAGTAGACAGGGATATGAGACAAAGGAATAGTAATAACGAAGAACAATGTAGTTTCATTGGAAATTATAAGTCACAATGAGTGGATGCATCTGCGCTATCACTGAGAACGATTTTCATCCCGCCATATCACCGACTGTCTCCAGCCATTGGACCCTAACCAGTCAGGAAGTTTAACCCTTCCTATGTGGCTTAAACTAACTGCTAGGGATTTTATTGACTGGTGCCGCCATGTTTTAGTTTGACCGCCGCTAGCTCTTTTCCAACCTGACCCTATTTCAGCTAACACTGGCTGTCGAGGAAGGCGATGGATGTCTAGGAATGCATACGCAACACATGTCCTAACCATCTCAGTCAATGTAACTTCACAACCTCGTCTACTGCTTTCCCCTTCCACCTACCTAGCACTCAACGCTTGACTAACCTCAATATTACTCACCCCATTAAACCGTCACTTCACACGGGAGGTAGAACGCACGCACCTATGATCGAGAAATATATACACCTGATTGATGAACATGCGTAGTTATATAACATTCATATCGGTTAGTATTGCTTGCTATAGTGGCTTGAACCAATTTGATTCTGTGAGCTGAGTTAAATGAGGTACACCATGAATGTGTTCGGCCCGAAAACCAGAGAAAAAGCCATGACCATGACCTGATTAGCAAGCACTGCTGGTCGATATGACCGGTATACAAATACTCATCTGAGTCAATCAGTAGCTTATAGCTTTACGCATTTATGCTTGATTTCTTGATTAATCTTTACTATATCAAGCAGATCATATTGTGTGATCTGAGTAATTTTAGATCCTAAAGGGAACTCTAGTGTGGATTGCAAGTTGCAGATTAATTTACAAACTGCAAAATTTGAATGAAACTCTCGTGTACACTTATTTCTAAGGATTTTATGTCTTGTGTCAAATCCGAGTCATTCATATTGCAATCTCTTTTACAAATTTTCATTTAGTATCCTCAGAATGGTTTAGTGACACACCTTTCACTATCGTCAGTAATTTATGGGATTCTTTGCAGTTTTATTCACTATTTTATTATATCTTCCATCCTCTGCTTGTTATATTATTAAGGCTTAAACCCTAATCCTCTTTGCAATGTATACAGTTCGTATTTATTTCATTTGATGTGGCTGGTAATAGAGTCAACGATGCGCATTTCGTCTTGTCTGGGACTAGAGAGCTCAGTTTACCTCCATCTTTAGCGAGTGATAGTGTTCTTATTGAGATTTGAACCCGAAAACATCTTTTGAAGTCTCGAAGCTTTATTTACTATGGTCACTGACAGTTGTGCAATGGGAATCAGTGGCTACTTGTTCCCACTGGCCTATTCTTATTGGACGTGTTTGGTCCCACTAGGGATGATTCAAAATTGTCAGCTATGACGTTATTTTGTTGATGGATCAATTATTAGAAGGTTGGATGCAATCCTTAGGAAAGCGTATCTGCAATCTTGACAGAACGTAAGTGTCTCCTCTGAGATTCAAATACGTGCGGGCTACCACCTAACTACAAGAATTCATTGTGCACAGTGATGGTGAGCTATACTCAGCACGGTGGCCACATTTCAAACTTGACTAGTAGAATTTAGTCTGCGCCAAACCGACAACCAGGCGCATGGCACTCATTGCCTACCACTTAGTGTTCAATTAAATTAAATGTCCAATCAACTTCCAGACATCGGTAAACAATCCATGTCAGCAGCTGACATTATTGAAAGGTGTCTACTGACTGGAGGAAAGGTTACCTCGTGAAACTAACAAAGACAGGCTTCTTAGGACTCTGCAAGAACTTATCTAGGGAGCAATGTCTCAACTACAGGAGGAACGGACGAGGGTGTCAAATCGAGAATCGGGAAGGCGAGAAACACATTCATCAACCTGAAACAACCAATCTGGAGATCTGCGTCACTCAGCACCACCAACAAAATTCGGTCAGATCTTCAATACAAACACGTCAGGTCAGTCAGCTCTTCTATACGGATCAGAAACTTAGCTGGCGGGTCACAAAGAATATTTACAACAGCCTGTTGCAGACCTTCATCACCCAACAACTGTCTTTGTTCCATACTGAAGATCAGATGGCCGGAAAGAATCACTAACAAGAAACTATGGGAAAAACAAACAAAAAACAAAAACCAACCGCCTAACAAATATGCAGGAGAAAGTGGAGATGGACTGGACACTCGCTGAGGAGGCCGCTTGGTGACATCACACGTCAGGCCATGGCTTGAGTGGAACCTGAAAAATCAATTAACATAAAGTCAAAAATAGCCTAAACAAATGTTCAACTTCAGCTTCAAAAGGGTAACTAGCTTGTGATTCATTCTGTGATCGGATGATTGAATCTTCCTTCTTGGTCCTGAGCCTACTATCCACCAATCAGAACAGTCTATTTCCACTATTTCCTGAGCAGATTTCGATATGGTTAGAAATATAAAGATATTATGACGTGCATTTCGCCCACTAAAACTGGTATCCTAATCGTCACGGGGCCAGTCTTAGATTTTTGATATTTACTTGACTGAGTGAATTGGAAGGCACTTATGGACAATAGTCATGTCTAATGTTTCCGTTGAGTTTGCCCATTGCATCCGTGTTGTTATGCCTCCATATAAGTCCACACGAGATAATATCAGCTGGCGACGAGAGCACTAGAATTATCCTTCCTAAATATCCTTCTGTAAGTCAAATTCTCTACAGTCTTGGAATAACATTTATCGATAATGATTATGTCATAGTATTTATTACTTTGTCTGGTTTTAACAAAGGAATCTACAGGATAATGTTTCATATCTTTATCGTCTAGTTACGTCATGAACTTTGTCATTCGCGTTCCCATACGAATGTATAAATGCATAAATGGTCAGACATAAATTTCATATTGATTTTTCCATTATTATATATATGAGGAAAAAAGTAGTTTTTGTCTCTAATGAATACATTTCATCTTTTCATACATTAATATTTCTTGTTTTGAAGGCAAAATGATTGTTTTAATGGCTATTGATTGATGGAGTTCAATAAAACTCTCAGCTAAGAGCGGTTTCTAACTAATCGCCTTTGACTCTACATTATATGAATTACGAAATACAAACAATCTGACTACCAGAAAGCTAAATCCGCTCATGTTCATATTAAAAAAATTCGATTCTGATGTGAATTTTATCAATGACGATACCTGACATGAGAATACATTCGAATTAGCTAAGGATTTCTCAAATGAATCATTTAAATCATTTTTGAATACCTCCTATGCTAAGATTTAAAGGTTGATGTATACCTCATCAGTTCAGTGTAAGATTATATTGTGCAAAACCAATTTGATGCAGTTTTCATTTAATCGATTGGTGTGACTGTCATCAATTTAAAAGCTGTCAATCTAATATATTAGGACATTTTACAGCCACAGCGTGCACTAACTGATCAGTGGGGCTTAACCAATATCGTATGCGTCGTAATCAAAGTTGATGCCCACTGAATCATATCAGTCAATTTTGAAGTGCGGTTAACAATCTGGATAACTCATCAAAGCGGTACACTTCGCATCTACGTAAGTTCGTTGAATGTAAGCGACTAAAAAGCCTTAATATAGGTATCTTGATCACTGATCGTAGTTGACAAGACGTATTTGCAATGCTGAAGGAACGGACAACCTTTTCGAGATTCGAATATGCAATTAGAGATAGTACCACCGAGTTGGTTGGGATCAGTGTGTTTTCTGAAGATGTAAAATAAAATCAAGAATAACGGTGCGTTCAAGACGAATAATGTAAATGCTCACCCGGAGCTTTCGTTAGAGAATTACATAAATTCATACATTTGGTTCCCTTGATAAATTTCGATAAATCATTGCAACATTTATTTAATTCAATTTTAGATTTCCTGATTGGACCTAAAAGCTCATTCTCAGGTTGACATTTCGCCTCCCAGTAGTGCGGATGCTTCGATGATGTCTGGTTATAAAACTAGGAGTCAGTTGGTGGGTGGTGACTAGCAGTGGAATCCAGGGTGCACATTTCGTCCTGTTCGCAACTCGTCACATAGATGAATCTGGGATTTCAACCTGAGATCGAGCACCTCAGTCTAATCAATCGATGGGAAAATCTAAAATTGAATTAAATAATTAATATGACCTGTTGCATTGTTTTGGCATTTCAGGTTATGGACACTGGGTTCGAACCTCAGCGGGAATACCGTCACTCACTGGGAAATACAGGTACGTCCAGCTGCAGGACGATTCTCAAATAGGAAGAAGTGCGCATCCCGGCTTGATTCCAATGCTAGTCACCATCCACCGAATGTCTTCTTAATGTTACTAAATCGCTAACATCAAATACTTCCCAGAGCCCATTAGAGTCTTTTTTTTCTTTTGGAGTTTTAATCTAAGTGAAATAATTCATGCATTTTATCAAATCATGTATTGTTTTTTTATTGTAGTTCCTCTGGTAATCGTGGCTCCTTAAGTCGAGGTGAAAAGTACCATGTGAAACAAATGACTTCAGGTTAGTTTTATTCATAGAAACCAACTTATTATTTACATGTTAAACAGATTATAGAAGTTAAATTTATGCTTCGATAGAGTAATTCGGTTTTTAATTAAGTAATATATATGTCCAAATCAAGTTCACTTTTAACAGTTTGAAAAAATTTGGGCATTGAGTATATCATATTCATTATAATAAAGGTATTTTGTATTTCCCAATGAATGAAAAACAAAACGATATCGTTGTTTCTACTGACGTTTCGCTATTTTATGCTAATAGCTTTATCAAAGTATTATTAATTAAACCAGAATTTACAAAAGGTCAGCATATATATAACAAAGAGTTAAGAAGTGAGAAAATAGACAAATTAGGTCGAGTTAAAGGACATATTGAAAGTCAAAATAACAATGAAGATCAATAAACAAAATAACAAAGGCAATGGTACAACTGTTATGATATCAAAGCAAAGTTTACTAACTTGATCATCGTTCGTCAGTATGGGAACATTTTTCGTTGTCGAGTAGGTCAATTGATAAAGATAAGAAAACCAAGTGTTGATTGTTGGATTTGATCAGTGTGTAAAATTATAAAACCAGTGTGTGTTTACATGCTGAACTTGCTTATCACATTTGTGTTGATTTTGTAACTTCATGGGAGAGGAGAGGGAGATGTTGTAACCAAGTCAGATTCTGTTTTAGTCCATCATTCCTATTCAGGCAATTCGGATTCCAATTGATATGAAGTCCTTCTGATATCAGACGTTCTTTGTGGTTTCTGAAGTTTTTCTGGATTATTTCAATAATGTCAAAATCAATTTTGTGGCCTGATTCTATAGCATGGCTGATGATTTTTCAAGTTTTTCTAGTTCGACCGGATTTCTCGGTGGTCGAACAGAGGGGGCTCTACGATGTTCATTTCTTCTGATTTTGATTGCTCTGTCGAGGTCTTTCCGATGTATATCACATTACATTCCAAGCATTTTATTTTGTAGACGCAATTAGATAGAGAATCTTTAGGGATTCGGTCTTTTATATGGACAAAGTTGCTTCGAAGTGCGTCTGATGTTTTGAAGAAAGCTCTAATGTCGAGCTGATTCAGTACACTTCTGATATCATCTAACGTTTCTGCTATATATGGAATGATGACTGTTGAGGTGCGTGTTTTCTGAATGCCTTTTCATCCATACTTAATGTCTGTGTTGATTTTGTTTATGAAGTTCCTTGGGTAGTTGTTTTGCTTGAGAGTTTCAATGATGTTTGATATTTCTTCTTCTTTTTCTTGCTCATCCGTTATCAGACAGTGTGCTCGTCTAAGAAGACTTGAAACAACTGAAATCTTTGCGCTGATGAGGTGTGATGATTTGAAGTTTAAATATTTATTGGAGTGGGTTTTCTTCCTGAATATGGATATACTTAAATGTCTGTTTTCTCTCCTCTTAAGTAGGCAGTCTAGAAATGGTAGTTCACTGACGTCTGATTCTGCTTCTGAGGTAAACTGGATTCTGGGAGATACACAGTTTTTTCTCAAGGAATGGATTGTGTAGATCTCGTTTTAATACTGCAAAAGTATCATCCACATATCTTAACGATATTTTAGGAGTGAGTATACTTGAGAAGATGTTATTTTCGAGTCTGTTCATGAAGAGGTCAGCGACTTGATCTAAGTCTATTTTCTCACCTCTTAACTCTTTGTTATATATATGCTGAGATTTTATAAATTCCGGTTTAATAATGCTTTGATAAAGCTATTAGCATTAAATAGCGAAACGTAAGTAGAAAGATAAAAACCTTTATTATAATGTACATCTGGCGTGTGAAAATTCACTACAAATGACTTCTAGAAATCAGACCTATTCACATCACAGTCTATAGCTAGAAATCATTCACATAAAATATTAAAACGTCTTAATCAGATCAAAGCGATTTAAATACCGAATGAAGCCATCAACGGAGTGCTTGGATTAAATCACCTTGGCGACCCACTGTTGATCCTGTCTCTACCTACTAACAACCTTCAAAAAGAATGGATACCCACACACAATTTCATCAAAAAGTATTTAATCTCAAATCATAATACCAACAAAACACTATCATCAAAGACCAGAAGAAAGTTCACTCTACCATATATAAAGAATATCTCTGGAATAACAGCTAGAATTCTTAGATCGTTTGAAATAAACATAGCACACAAACCAACATAACCACTTCATTCGATATTGTGCAAGCCAAGCGATCCAATAGAAGAAGAAGAAGAAGATAAGATTAACACCATTTACAAAAGTGGGCGTCCCATTCTTGTCCGAATCCTAGAACATAAATTAGCTGCAAAAAGGCATGATTTACATTCTTTCATATCGATGCATGGTAGGTAATTACAGACGCCGGTTTGATGATTGAGACAGTATAAACATTTTAAACCGTATAAACACTTAAAATGAAGCCAGGGAATTTCTGAAATCCTGATACTCAGAAGAATCAACGATTACTGAACAAATTTATCACCTAATAAAAAAGTAAATCACATGACAAGATGGTTCAAATTCCAAGTCAATAAACATGATCAACCGAGACGTAAATTAACAACTAATCAGCACAGTGGTTGCCAGGCGATACAATCATATCACTCACACAGAGATATCAAACAAGTTTGCTCTATATTGAAGCTCTCGTTGAAGATGTTGTCTAAAAGGACGACGAAAGCTTCTGATCACGGAATATACACATTGGGTCACAGAAGTTATTAAGAAGACAATTGCAGAAAAGAAAATTTTCTTTTCGACGAATTCATCAACTAGATAGTTGTACATTCGTGTATTTATATCAAATGGATGGGAAAGTTCCAGAATAATTTCCGGTTGAGGGTCAAATTAATAAAAATTACAATTAGGGATTAGAATGCCATGATAAACAGTGGGAGGACGGATACAATTCAAACAAAGTAGCATCATAATAACTAAAAAGACTGACATTGTGCAATTAGGGGTTAGAAATGTAGAAATAACAAAAATAGACAGGATGTTTGGATAAAAAAACTAATGTGATGAATAATTGTTTATGCAATCAGGGATTAAATATGTAGAAATAGTAAAATGACAAAATAAACACGAAGTTCGGGTATGAAAATATGGTAGTGTAAACAGGGATTAAGAAAAACTTGAAATAACATGAATAAACAGGAAGTTTAGATAAGAAAGGCGATGGGATGGTGATTACTAAAAAATTACTTGTTTACGATGGCCATGTCAGGGACAGAGGTTGGACGTCGGAATTAAATCAACCAGCAGCTCAGAGAAGACAGCTAAATTGAAATCACCCAGCGGAGTTATAAATATTCTCTATTATAATCCCGACTCTAAATGACTGAAACGGTTGTCTTGTGGTTAGACCACTTCAATTTGGCCAGCAAACATTACTATTTAGTGCGAGTGATTTTTCATCATATTTCCATCGATAGATTAATCGAAATGATTAATGTCTGCGGCCAATCACTAAATCAGATGTGATTCTTTGAACTACGTGAATTGTCTTCCTGGATGATGTGCATAGTTAGCGGACTAACCTGGTAGTCTGGAGCAGAAGCATTGAAAATGGACCCAGAAAGAACAGCGGAGTTGATGATGCCATTAATAGAGAAGGTGTGGAAGGAGGGCAAAGTACCCGAGGGTTGGAAGAAAGGATACTTATTCAAACTACCAAAGAAAGGAGACTTAAGTCAATGCAAAAACTGGCGTGTAATTATGCTCCTGTCTATCCCAAGCAAAATACTAAGCCGCATCATACTGAGGAGAGAATCAAACAAGCCCTGGATGAAGAACTTCGACCGGAACAAGCTGGATTCAGAAGAAACAAGTCATGTATTGATCAAATCGCCACTCTCTGGATCATAATTGAACAAAGCTTGCAATGGCAGTCACCTCTCTATCTCGCTCAAATTCATCAATTTTGAAAAGGCCTTCAGCAGACAGAGTCGATCGAGAGGTGATTTGGCTGCTACTTCGCTACTACCAAGGGGTACAATCAACAATTATACAACTCATCCAACAGTTAGACGACAATTCTGCATGACAAGTAATCCACAACGAGAAACTTACGGAAGCCTTCGAAGTGTGAACGGGAGTGAGGCGAGGCTGTCTACTAACACCAATGATTTTCCTGATTGCAGTAGATCGGATAATGCAACAGACATCGGAACGGGCAACGAGGAAACAGGCGTAAAATGCACTCACACAAAAAACTTGGAGGATCTGGAATTCTCCGATGATATATGTCTGATTTCTCACAAACTGGAACATATGCGAGTGAAAAGCAACAAGTTTGCTATAGAATAAGCATCAGAGGTAGAACTTCAGGTGAACACAGAGAAAACAGTGGAGGTGATGAAGATTCCCATCCAACATCAACAGCCTCAGCAACAACAACAACAGACTACAATCAGCCTGCATAAATGGGAGGAACCTGAAAGAATCAACCTCCTATACCTACCTACCTGCGAAGAATCGTTTCAACTACAGGCGGATGGAACTGACGAGGATATCAAAGCAGTGAGGATCGGAAAAGCAAGACAAGCTTTCATTACTCTCAAGTCTGTGTGGAGGTCAACAGCACTCACCATCAAAAATAACACCGGGATTTTCAACTCCAATGTGAAGTCAGTACTACTCACTATAGGGATCAGAGACTTGGTCAGCGCGTCATAAAGAGCACCTCAAACAAACTACAGACCTTCATCAACAGCTAGGTGTCTTCGCTCAATACTCAAGATCAGATGGCCGGACAGAAATGATCAGAGACAAAGATCTCAGGAAATGAGTGAACCAAGCGGGAACCGATTGTGCAGCAAATAGGCAGGAACAAATGGAGATGGATTAGCTGGTCATACTCTAAGAAAACAAACCATCAAGTGACTGGCATCACTAGACAAGCGATTGCTCGAGTGGAACCCGACCGAATGGGAAGCGGCGAGTTGGTCGTTGGTGCAAGGGTGATTTGGAGGAGGTGATTTGAATAGGAGATGAAAGCATGTGGTCAGACTTGGAGCGGGGTGAAAAAGTTGGCAGAAAAACGAAGGCAATGGTGACGCGCAGTTGAAACCCTATGTTCCTCTAGGAATTAAAGGATATAATAATAATAATAATAAATGGTAAAGTGAGCTGGCTGTTAACTTAATGAAAAGAAAATAATATGACACTAGTTATCCCTTAATTACGGATTAATATCTGACAAGTGCAAATTGTAGTGTGTGTCTATGTTATTCCGAAATCTAATTGCATTTATCCAATTTCATACTACAATGAATGAGCAAGGCAAAGGAGACACAGTTTTATTGCTCAGACAGGGATACAAAACTTAAGAATAATGTTGTTGTCAAAATGTCTCATCTAACTAAATATTGTTCACGCATAGTTGAATGTGACACGACAATCTGCTGATTTGCAAAAGTGATTGACAGGTGTGCCATCTGACAATCATATCCGGAAAAACACTGAGACATAATATCCCGTGTCTAACGTCGATTCAGATACGGACTATTGATTTTATAGATTCACTTAAAACAATTAGTCCCTTTGATAAATTTGAATAAGGCGCATAGAAGACAAATTTCGTGAAATGATGGCATCATTTCGTAGTTTCTTTACAACCGCATTACACCTAACATAATTCACAATAATGATAAAATAAAATGCGTGACAAATACTCAGTTGGATGAAGGATTTGGTCAAGAGCTGATATCAATTAGAGAACCACTGGAAATCAAGGGAGTACTGGACAGCTATTTCGTCCGGGTTTGGGACTCTTCATCACTATGAACCCGGCGCCAGGGTTCGAACACAGGACCTTCCGGTTACAAGGCTAGTGAGCTCCCAGACTACTAAGCCACTGAGAACCGACTCAATGACCAATGCACGAATTCTAACTACTGCCAATTCATGACATAGTGTGACCATTTCGCAATGTCTTCTTCGATGAGTTACTGGCTAATCTGATGCTCACTAGCGACTGGCCCTATTCAGGTAGTGACTTGGGGTTCTCGTGAGAAGCCGTGACCAGTAGAGTACAGCAGGTTGGAGATGAGGCAGTTACTCATAGAAGTAGATATTGCGAAATGGTCGCGCTATGTCATGAATTGGCAGAAGTTAGAATTCATGTAGTGGCCACTGGGTCGGGTTCCAGTGACTTAATGATCTACGAGCTCGCCTTGTAACCATGAGGTCCTGAGCTCAAACCCTGGCGGTGGGTGCGTACTGATGAAGAATCGAAAACCGGGACGAAATAGCTGTCCAGTACTCCCAGGTTTTACAGTGGTTCACTAACTGATGTCAGCTCATGATGAACTCCTTCATTCAATCGAACGAAATCCCTATAAAACCAATACTTGAAAATTACTCAGTAATTTAAATTAAACAAAAGTACTTTTTTTCCTTCACGTTCCCCAGTGGAACATAGCGATGGCTTCAAGCCAGTGGCTTGAAGTTTCTGTAGCCACGTGTTTTTTACAGGATGGGTTTGCTAGTCTCATGCTCAACCTTTCCTCTTTACCAGCATTATTTCTCGCTTAGTGAGGTAAAAGAGGTGCGTCTGTGGCCGGGGATCGAACCCCAGACCATGTGCATGGTCGGCGAACGTCCTAACCGCTATGCCACCGACGCACATACTAATGACCAGTCATATTTAAATAGGTCATGTAGTCCATGGTAAGCGGAGGTTGAAGTCTATTGTTTTTTGTACACATAGTTTGGGATGTATGGGATTAATCCAAAGTGTTTCCTCACCTTTATTATCCAGCCTTCAATAAGATTTATGTGATGAAATAATTGTGAAGCAGTCATTAATATTGATTTTGTCACCTGATATTATTAAGTGCTTTGCAATGGATGATGCTGGATTTCTATTCAGATTAATTGCATTAGGTTGCTTTAAATGTTTAAATATCCATTTTGGAACATGTTCCTTTCTACGATATTGGAACATTCTATTGGTTCTACTCATATAGTGTATGTCATCGCAACTGCATGTGAACTTGTAGATACAGTATGATGTAGAATTTCGTCCTTTAATCGTAGGTACAGGGATCTAAAGTGTTCGGCGTGTGAGAGAAGTAGATACGGCGTAGAATGTGTGTTTGATGGCTGACCGAAGTCTTTGAACTAGCTGTCAACTGTATAATCTGATCACCCTCGAATGGTAGGTTAATAAAGACAGATAGCTTTCTTTGGTACAGAAGCTGTCTTTCCAAGATGTGGTCTATCCTTACTTTGACAAGTGATAAAGTTTTCTGGATAACCATTGACTAATAAACCGGAATGTATATGTCGAAAGTACTCCATCAATGTGTCACTCGTAAAGCGGTTGTAAAGAAACTATGAAATGATTCCATCATCTCGCGAAATGTGTCTTTTAAATGCCTTGAATTGAATTTTTGATTTTCCCGTCGATTGATTGGACCGAAGTGCTCGGTCTCAGGTTGACATGTCGGCTTCTTGTGCAGATGCTTCGACGATGTCTGGGCATTTAGTTAGTATACAATTGGTGGATGGTGGCTAGCAGTGGAATCCAGGATGCGCATTTCGTCCTATTTGGGACTCGTCAGCTGGATGTACCTGCATTTCTCAGTGAGTGATGATGTTCCCACTGAGGCTCGAACCCAGTACCCATAGTTTCAAACGCCAAAGCGTTATCCACTAGACCACTTGGGCCACGAGAGCCACCACTTGTATTGTATTTTAAATGCCTTATTCAAAAATTTATGGATTCAATTACGAGGACATATCTATCAGTCACATAAACCGTCTCTTTTATTACACAGTGTCGTTAAACACCCCATCTGATAAAAAATAGACATAAAATGGAGTTTACGATTTAAAACGGTTAATTGTGAAAAAGTTACAAATACGCCTAAATGTGAATACCAATCACAAATAATCACAGAATGCAAAGCAATTAACATTTGTGTGGTATACATTTGCATAATATGTAGACTAATTTTTCTCAGGGTAATATCATCACTACATTTATAGAAGCAGACACAATGACGATTATTAATGTTGTTCATGATAGGCATAAATATCTTAGAATATATATGAGGGGATGACAACTTAAAGTGAAAATTATGGGCTAAAATTACATGTAGAAACTAATATCGAGACTGGGACAAAGGGTAAACAAGGATTTTTTTTCCTACATTTAGTTCCGGTTTCTCAGACTTCTTTCTTTTACAAATGACATTTCCGTCATTTACATATCTTGCGGAAAATCTGAATGTGAGAATTATCTATCTGATATGCGTGAAATAGGCATTATGTCTCATAACGTTTTACTGATAATTCCTATAGTGGTATATCGTTATTTCACACTTTTGGTTCCCTTGATAAATTTCGATAAAGAAAGAAAGACCAGATTTACACTATAAAATGATGCATAAAATGGACCCTCACGAAAAACTTGGAGGGGATGGACTTCACCGATGATATGTGTGTGATTTCCCGCAAACTCGAAGATATGCAAGTGAAAAGCAACAAGTTTGCTATAGAATAAGCATCAGAGATAGGACTTCAGGTGAACATTGAGAAAACAGTCGAGGTGATGAAGATTCCTGGCCAACACCAACAGCAACAACAGCAGACAACAATCGCCATAAATGGGAAAAATCTGAAAGAAGTCACCTCCTTCACTTTCAGACTGGGAAGCATCGTTTCAACTACAGGCCAGCGGAACTGACGAGGATATCGAAGCAGTGAGGATCGGAAAAGCAAGACAAGTTTTCATTACTCACGTCAAGTCTGTGTGGAGGTCAACAGCACTCACCATCAAAAATAACACCCGAGTTTTCAACTCCAATGCTACTGACTTTACGGATCAGAGACTTGGTCAGCGCGTCATAAAGAGCACCTCAAACAAACTACAGACCTTCATCAACAGCTAGGTGTCTTCGCTCAATACTCAAGATCAGATGGCCGGCCAGAAAAGATCAGACACAAAGATCTCTGGAAATGAGCGAACCAAGCGGGAACCGATTGTGCAGCAAATAGGCAGGAACAAATGGAGATGGATTAGCTGGTCATACTCTGAGAAAACAAACCATCAAGTGACTGGCATCACTAGACAAGCGATTGCTCGAGTGGAACCCGACCGAATGGGAAGCGGCGAGTTGGTCGTCGGTGCAAGGGTGATTTGGAGGAGGTGATGTGAAGAGGAGATGAAAGCATGTGGTCAGACTTGGAGGGGGGTGAATAAGTTGGCAGAAAACCGAAGGAAATGGAGACGTGTGGCCGAAGCCCTATGTTCCTCTAGGAATCAAAGGAAATAGTATTAATAAGCCATGTCATCATTTTGGGATCACTAAACTCTTAGCTGTTGGTTTCCAGTTACATTCAATTGGCATTACGTTGCGAAGAAATTAGTGAATGCATCAAGTTATTTTAGTTAAATTCCGTCAAATTATTATTGCTAGTCAAGTATTCGCTGTTTTCTTCATTATCAATTTTTAATAGGGTGTTATTCAAATGAAGCATTCTATTCAGAATTGGATGTGCAATCCTCCTCAGGGAAATCTTCAACTGTTAACGATCTATTCAGTAATTTAAGACATATTGATAGTGAAGGTAAGAAATAATTTTTATAAAAAATAACGTAAATATCCTTTTTAAGACGTATTAAGATGTTTGAACAGATGGTGTTTTCATATGGAAAATACTTTTAGAAAGGGAAACATGAGAAAGACAAACTTCATACCACACCTATTTTTGAAGTATTTAAAGATGAGCTTAATGCAGGTGAAAATATAGTCGAGTTTTCATCCTGCACAGTTCCTTTGGGAAAATTAATCTGATTTTAGATGGAGATATTCAATGTTTTCTATCAGCGGAATACTAACCAACCAGAGATTACAAGTAATACCTCCTTCACCTATCTGGTAAGAATCATTTCAATTACAGGCAGTCGGAACGGATCAAGATGTCAAAGTCAGAATCGGAAACGTAAGATACGCCTTCATCAATCTGAAACGAGTTTGGAAATCTTCTCCTCCGGCTCAGCGTAAACAACAAGACTTGAATTTTCAACACCACTGTCAAGTCGGTCCTTCTATCTAGTTCGGAGACTTGACTTTTCACAAAAAGGATTTCACACAGGTTGCAGACTTTTATCAACAACTGCCCTCTCTCTAGTTCCATACTGAAGATCAAGTGGCTGGTCAGAAAGAATAGGCAACAAGAAACTCGGGCTGAATACAAATCAACCAAGAGCCGATCGCTCAACAAATATGTAGGAGAAAGTGGAGATGGATCAAACATACACTGAGGAGATCATTGAATGACATTGCACACAAGGAACGCCATGGCTCGAATGGAATCCCAATTAGGAAGTAGCAAATTGGTCTTCAGTGCGAGGGTGACATAAACGAGATCGTGTGGCTAGAAAGAGATGAGAGATTATAAGCAATCGTGATGTTATCCAGCTGAAGAGAACGGCAGAAAACAGAACAGAGTGAAGATGTGTTTTTGAAGCTTTATGATCCACTTGGAACCTAAGGGAATAATGATAATATAATAATAGAAACTAGCCACGCAGGAGGTCTGGGCTCCATTCCTATCTGACTCAATCCTAATCCTCACCCAGTTCATCAGCCAGTAGTAAGCCTAAAAAAGATGGGGAAATGGGGGTATGCCGATCAGCCTCCACCTCTAGTGAAATTTTCAAAGCTTGAAGTTATGTATTATCCTCGAAAAACGAAAAAAAATAAGAAATAAGAATATGTATTACGCTAGTTTAAGCAGGTTTTTCTTCATATTCTTTTTTATTCAATTTCTCAGAAGACAAAACACTGTTGGTATAAGTTAGTATATTAGGCATTGAATCAGGATGTGCGTCGGTGGCACAGATGTTAGGACGCTTGCCGACCATTCACATGGTCCGGGGTTTGATCTGCAGCCCACAAACACCCGATATCAGTGGTCGGAGTGCAAACTTTGGGCTACCGATATCACATGCTGAAAACTCCATACTTGTAGTTAAATTGTGTGTAGAATCAAGTTATAATAGAAAAATATTCTTCGGAATTAAAAACAGCTTAGTTTGTCCCATAGGTGAAAGTGGAGACTATGTAAATAGACGCGGAACACGATGAAAAAGGTATGAATTCAACTTGAATTCATATCCTTTTACTAATGACATATAACACTTAAACTATGAACGTTAGAATGGTTTGACGATTATCTGAAGGTCAGAGGTAATCTTACTCTGTAAAACCATACTAGCTGTACTAAACCTCATGTTCACTAGTACCTAACTAATATGAAGTTACTGATAGTAGAAGTTTGCCTGCAGAAGTATGTGGGCGGTTATGATTTCTGAGGTACCCACACTGTGCCTGAAGTGCCTGAAACAGAAGGAGTATTTGTGTTGCTTTGCGTTGCTGCAGAACACACTTGAAAACGACCTGAGCCTGGTGACACGCACATGACTTTTGTACTTTTGCTCCTAATAAAGTCTTGCTACTGGCTATGGATCTACTCAGGATAAGTCTGGATGCACAATTTTCAGGGGTGATCTTTTCTAAATTACGAGCATAGATGGCTTGTTGATCATCGGAGAGAAGTAACTTATTGCTGCTGAATGTCTGTTCACAATCACTACGGTTTTGCCATCAAACCCCTAGTAGAATAACTGCTTTTAGTCTCACTGCTATCCTAAGGACCTTTCCGGAATTCCAGGACCTGAAGCGACACAAATTACAGCTTACGTAGCGTTTTAAGTCATTTTAGTATGCAACCATATCAAGGTAGTTGGTATCAGCCTAGAAGTGATGATATATCCACTAAAAAGCGAGATTTTCGATAGATGATGGATTAAAATTTCTTTCTAACCCTTAATATGATGCTAAAACTATAGCGTACTACAACGGTTAGAAGTACCCATTTAGACATATAGAAAACAGAAAGACTGAGCGAAGAAATATTTAATTTTCAATTAAATCCTCATCTCTGGCTCTACTCTAATATATTATGTATAGCATTTTTATCACAATACATAACAATTTACCAATCATCAAGTGGCATTGATATGTTTGTTAACAATAATTAAACATTAAAACAATTAGTCCCTTTGATAAATTTGAACAAGGCATTAAGAAGACAAATTTCGCGAGATGATATCATTTCGTAGTTTCTTTACAACCGCTTTACAACTAACATGGTTAACAATGATAAAATAAAGTTCATGAAAATTGCTCAGTTAAATAAAAACAAAAGTACATACTAATGACCAATCACATTAAGATAGGTCATGCAGTCCAGGGTAGGCGAAGATTGAAGTCTATTGAGTTTTGTACACACAGTTTAGGCTGTATGTGATTAATCCAAAGTGCTTCCATCACCTTCAATAACCTTGAATTAGAGTTATATGAAATAATTGTGAAACAGTCATTAATATTTATTTTGTGACCAGACATTAATAAGTGTTTTGCAATGGATGATGCTGGATTTCTATTCAGATTAATCGCGTTAGGATTTTCGATATGATTTACTAGCCATTTTGGAACATGTTCTTTTCAACGACATTGGAACATTCATAATTAAACAGTGTCAAAACTTCAATAGGTTGATAACTGACGAAGAAAATCAATACACACAATTAAAACACACAGTATTGTACAGTTATATTAACTGTGTGACAGTTTATCAAAATAAAATCTTATCCATAATGGAGTTATACTCTACCACCACAGTGCCTAAGTTTTACACTTATATCACACAATTAAAAGGTAGAAATGGTTAGAATAAATTAATTTTACAAGGATAACACTTAGTGCATTTGATATAATGATGGCCAAGGTAAGGAAAGTGGCTGTACAAATGTCTTCTGAACACACAAGATTGGCTTCTTCAGGTGGATTCCTATTGCTTCAGCTGCCTGTAGATGACGAACTCTAAACAGAACTGTCGACTGCACAGTGAATTTTGTTTGTAATTGTTTATGTCGTAAATTCAATGTTCAATTTGCATTTATCTTAAACTAATCCCATTTCCAGCATTTCGAAACAAATACCGACTGTCTTAAGTCTAAAATTGAAGGATAGATACTCATTGATGTCAATCCGTAGATGACACTGATGCTATTCAGCTCAATGAAAACATATTTTAACGAACTGAACTCATGAAAGAAGTTTTTGGCTTCAACTCTATAGCTAACTAGAACTTCCTTGAGTTACTCTTGGTGCTAAATCGCCCCGACAGTCGTAAAGGCAGTTATTTGTGATAAAATCTGCATGACTATTCAGTCAGACTATTCGAAGTGAGGACGGGAGTGCGACAAGGCTGTCTACTATCACCAATGATCTTCCTGATTGCAATTGATTGGATAATGCCACAGACAACGGCAACCAACGAGGAAACAGGCATAAAATGGACTGACACAAAAGACTTGGACGATCTGGATTTCGCCGATGATATATGTCTGATTTCCCATAAACTGGAAGATATGCAAGTGAAAAGTAACAAGTTGGCAGAAGAAGCATCAAAGATAGGACTTCACGTGAACATAGATAAAACAGAGGTGATGAAGATTCCTAGCCAACATCAACAGCAACAACAACAACAGACAACAATCAGCATAAGTGGGAAGAACCTGAAAGAAACAACCTCCTTCACCTACCTGGGAAGCATCGTCTCAACTACAGGCGGAACTGACGAGCATATCAAAGCCAGCATGGGAAAAGCAAGGCAAACTTTCGTTACTCTTAAGTCTGTGTGGAAGTCAACAGCACTCAGCATAAAAAATAAGATCCGAACTTTCAACTCTAATGTGAAGTCAGTGCTACTATACGGATCAGAGACTTGGCGAGTCATAAAGAGCATCTCAAACAAACTTCAGACCTTCATTAACAGCTGTCTCCGCTCAATACTCAAGATCAGATGGCCAGAAAAGATCACCAACAGGGATCTCTGGGAGCGAATCAATACAGCAGGAACCGATTGTGAAACAAATAGGCAGAAAGAAATGGAGATGGATTGGCCATACGCTGAGGAGACCATCAAGTGACATCACTAGACAAGCCCTCGAATGGAACCCGAAAGGGAGGCGGCTAGTTGGTCGTCAATACAAGGGTGACTTGGAGGAGGTCATGCGAGGAGGAGATGAAAGCATGTGGACAGACCTGGAGCAGGGTGGAAAAGTTGTCAGAAGACCGAAGTCAATGGAGGTGCTCAGCTGAAGCCCTATGTTCCTCTAGGAACTAAAGGATACAATAATAATAATAATAATTCAGTAATCATAACATATCAAAACGCAGATTGCTTCAACAATGCTGTTAGATGGCTGTATAGATCAGATTGAATTTCAGATACAAAATGAGTAGCAATATACAACAAAATTATTTTACTAAAATCAATCCTGAGAAGTACCTGAGAATCAAGAAGAATATTTCAGGCAAGGAAGGATCAAAACTCCATCTAGAAGACTGACGCATCAAGCAATTCCCACAGAGAATCAAAACTCAGACTGACATTGGGATATATTTAGTTGAAACATCCAAATAATCACCAATATTATGGTTAGATCGTTCAAGAGAGACTTTCTAAACAGTGAGAGAACCATTGAAAACCGCCAGTGAGTGCTGGACAGCTGTTTCATCCTAGTTTTTGGACATCATCGGCAGTACGCACCCACCGGTAGTAGCACTAAATCACGAATTAGTAGAAGTTAGAATTGATGGGCTAGCCATTGAATCGGCTCCCAGCGGTTGAATGGTATACGAGGTCGCTAGCCTTGTAACCGGAAGGTCCTGCGTTCGAACTCTGGCAGTGGGCGCGTAATACCGATGATTCCTAAACCAGGATGAAACAGCTTTCCATTGCCTCCTGGTATTCAATGTTCCCTTAACTGATATAAATCCGTGATCACCTCGTTAAAACTATTGAAAATTTTCCAAATAATCATTTTAGTAACCGTATTTCCAGCTGCAATCGGAAAACTCTTCATATTTAGAGAAACCTTTTGGAAAACGAGTCGAACGACGCTTCTCCTAGCGTCAGGAGTTTCTGCACCATGTTTTGATGTTGGTAAGGCTTTTCAGATTCCAGAAGAAATCAGAAGTGATGAGAGGAGATATTTTCACATGCCTATTTCTTATTAAGTTTCATCAGTTACACTAGCTAAAGAATCAGTTGGCTTAGGAAATTATGGTTGTAGCTTGAAAATTCCCAATCAGTCATAGAAAAGAAAAGGTGTTCAGCAAAGAGTTACTCTTTTCGGCGATATCATTCTCAAGCTGTACAAATCGCAAATTTATAGTAATTTGTTTTGGCAACAAAAGGAATATTTCCAAAGATGTGTTAATGCAATTGTTAGTTTTTGACAAACAAATTACGTAATTTTGAAGGCGTTAATCGGTTAGAAACTAAACGCTGGGTACCCAGCGTTTGCTATCCAAACGAATCAGCGAACACTTACCTTCATGGTTTTATAAGGGAGAAAGAAGATCCCCCCGCCACAGCTCTATCCTAGAACACTTGATCGAATCCGGACACCAAGCAAACCCACAAAACAACTTCTCAGTTATCTACACAATACGTGGAAATCTTGCCAAAAGAGTACGAATTAAACTTCTTCAAACTGCAGAAGCAATGGCAATTCACATATTGAATCCTGAACTCTGTATACAAAAGAAGTTTGTTCAGTCACTAAATCTACAATGGTCCTGATCTATCTTAACACCAAATACGTAATTTTGTCTTACCTCTTTCTTCTTTGTTTGTCTATTTCTTAATTGCATTATTTTCTACCCCCACCCTCTATTAAATCTCTACGCTCATGACGAGTGTTGCTAACTCGATTTTCGTTTACTTTTCAGTGAATTCTACTCAGCTTATTAACTTAACTCTCATTCATTTTCAAGTGAATTCTACTCAGATTATTAACTTGACTCTCATTCATTTTTTCATTGAACCCTATCAATTAGATTACGTCACCCAACCTACTTTTGTAACTTTATTTTAGTTTCTAACCGATTAACGCCTTCAAAATTACGTAATTTGTTTGTCAAAAACTAACAATTGCATTAACACATCTTTGGAAATATTCCTTTTGTTGCCAAAACAAATTACTATAAATTTGCGATTTGTACAGCTTGAGAATGATATCGCCGAAAAGAGTAACTCTTTGCTGAATTATGGTTGTATTTATATCTCGTGTTAGGCAACTGGGAGACAATTGTTGATCTAGGCTCAATGTCATTCGTGTTACAGAGGTGAGAGAGAGGGCGGATTTTCCAGGAATTCAGAAACATAACTGCTGATTCCTTCACAAAGTGTAATGAAATCTTTTTAGTCATTTAAGAAGCTTTGAATTTCCGAAATTCATTTTTAATTCTTGATTGATGAAGGCCTTAAAGAAGAGAGAAGTTTAAACTTTTCAGCACTTTGTCAGTTTCACATATATAATCATAACACTTTTTAATATTTTTCTTTACAGTTGACATCACTGAACAATCTCCGTGCAGAACAAAGCCAACAGGAACTATTCAATCACCATCAAGACAAATTTACAATTCCTACTTAATGAATCATTCTTGTACACCATTACATCATATCTACATCCCAAATAGTTACAACAAACCCGTTGAATTCCATATGGAAAGGCGATATGACAACCATTATGAGAAGTCGATGTCTCCTTATCATAAGTCAACTGATAAAACATGTACAGATCTCAGTGCAAATTATAACACATTCTCCTTAGTGGCCAGTGTACCGTTTCCTGGAACAACTGTCTATTCATCTTTAGGCATGCCTCCATTAATGGAACGTTCTATGGAGGATGATGAATGTCAGTTGTTTAGATAACAAGAAAGAAAACCAACAGAGAGGAATTTCATGGAAATCAGGGAGCCATTTCTCTCCTCCTCCTCACCATCATCATCATCATCACCCAACTCATCTTATTCAATTGGCTCACTGTCATATTCTTCAAAGTTGTATAAAATGACCTAATAAAACGGCTACAGATGTATATGATATCTTCAAATATCTTCCTGATTGCGTAATCATCGAATAACACCAATCTCACAACTGCATTTAATCGCCTAATCCACCTTTTTTTACACTTGTTCCCTTTGTATTCTTTACCCCCCCCCGCAATTTTTCTATTGGTTTGCTACAATATTTGTTTGTTCCCCTTTTTACTACAAATAAACTTCATCTGTACTAAAAGGAGTGATGTGAGTGTAGAATCGGAGCACTGTGATAGACTAGAACTCCATATTACATGAGTTGGTTTGATATAACACACAGTGGTGGTCACGCTATGTCGTAAATTGGTAGAAGTTAGAAATTATGATCCATTAGATTGGGTCCCAATGGCTTAATGGTCTATGAGCTCACCTTGTAACCAGAAGTTCCTGGATTAAAACTCTTCAATGTGGGTGTGTACTGATGAAAACTCCAAAACTAGGACTAAACAGCTTTCCAGTACTTCCTGGTGGTTTTTCAATGGTTCTTTAAATGATTTCAGCTCATGATGAAATCCTCCAACCAAAAAAAAAATATCGTTCTGTTTTTGATCAATTGGGAAACACAAAACCTTTTATAAAAATGAACGACCAACCAACTCTTTCAGAGATAAACTTTTTGGCTTGATGACCTGATAAATCCAATTAGGAAAAGTAATCTATTTCGCCAAATACCATATAATGGCTGTTGGATCAATTACATAGGTCAAACGAATAGATCGGGGTCAGTTAGATAATTGGAACACTAAAATTTATATGGATCTAGAATGGCTGACCCTGATAAGTTAAATAACTTAGAAAAAAGCCCAAACATTGAATTGCATTCACTTGCATGTAATCACAAAATCGGATGGGATAGGACAAAAGTATTGTAAAGTAATGTAGTTACGTGGAAAGACGGGTTACTCATTCGTACAATCTAAACGATGCAACGCCTATATCGGATATATGGAAAATTGCAACAAACAGTAAAGGAGAATGAGATAAAAATAGACGTATAGGAAATTCTGAAACCATGTAAACAAAGTGCTATGGTTGTGAGCAATAAATTGTTCTCTAAGCCTCCTCCATTTAACAGTAATGTACCATCCTCTGTGCTATAAAGTTGTCTAATGCAAAAAAGACTGTCTTATTGTGAAACAACTGGTGACTATTTCACGAAGGATATAAAAGTTGTCGAAAAGAAGTAAGGTAAATTACAGGATTTCCAGTGACTATTTTACTGAACACCGTTGATCACAACTGTGAGACAACTTAGTGTTGTTTTTGTATATTCTCGGTTGGATGGTCGCATCGCAAAGCTTTCGTTGTCCTCCTTTCGAAGACTGAAATAAGCGGAGCTAACTACATAGGGTTAGTGAGCTTTGATATTTCTCTATTGATGAAATTCGAGTCTCTGCTAGTGACTTTCAGTGTGATTGTATTTCGCCTACGATTTTCTTATCAGTGTATTCACTAGTATTGGTAGGCACTTTTTCATTGACTTAGCAGCTAAACTTTCAGTCATGTGGACTTGCGCTTTATTAATTGGTAAATTCACTCTACACGGACGTATCGACAATTCGTGAATTGATGTGGGTACCAGGCTTCTAGAATTACTCTGGTATTTCTCGTACTTTACGTGGTCAAAGTTCTTACTTTCGGTTGATATTGGCAGTTGTTCACATGTATTCCAATGATACAAGGAATTGTGTGTATACCTTTCTAAACGTTTAGGCTGTCTTCTTGGATGGAAAGACAAAGAAGACGTTCAAGCTGGTTAATTTACACTGTTTTGTATTTGAGACGATGTATGCTATGTATTACATTGATTTTCTTTTCTTTCGCTCTTGAAGTAAACGTCACCGTAGGATTCTATTGCAGTCTAGCTGAATGCTTTTCATTTTCACCATAAAATGAATGAGCAGCTCTTTAGACTAATAACAAGAGTCTGTTAGATATCCTGGCTTTCATCAGTCGTTGTGCATTTTAATCCCTGGAGGAAAGCGACTGACCGAAGCGAGATGTCCGGTTGATATCATTTAGGCTTGTTGTAAAACTGAGGTTAGTCATAGCGGCGTGAAATGACAGTGAGAGATACACCTTACAGACTAGTATTAACAAACACACATGGCCCCAGTCCATAGCTTCAAAGTAATTAAAATCAATTCAAATCGCAATAAATTGACTCATCTTTTAACTTGGTGACGACGCTCAACGATGGTTCACATAATTTAGTAGGCGCTAGTTCCCGACAACATTTCAGTGGTTACTGTTAAACAGTATCATATCCAAACTAAATTTAAAACACTTACCATTCAAGGGTCGATATTTATGACCTTGACAAGGGTCTATTCAAACTATTATTGTCTACGTGCATATATATCTAGTTATTAGTATCCAATCAAAGAATCCACTACAGTCCCACAGGGGGTCATTCTCGAGTCCGAATAGCTCAATGTTAACATCTCTTACTGTAGGCGGCACTGTTTGACGCGGATTCGAATCTCAGAAGGGACATGAGCTACTTCAAGGTTGCAGATACTCCTTCGTAAAGAGTGACACCTAGCACAAAATTTAGGTCCAAGGCTTCCTTTGGTAGATTGCCTTCAACTATCGAATTTCATCAAACCAATGTGCACCGTCATGGGGAGCTACGTAGAATGGTGGCCACATTGCAAACTTGACTGACTGATAGAATTCAGTCTGCAGTGAAGATAGAACTAGACACATTACACTAGTTACTGACTAGTGTGCAATCAAAAAGAAACACGTTTTTAATGAAGATGTGATAAGATTAAGGGATGATAAGACAGGGGTTGAAAATATAATTAAGGGGTGGTGGCGACGCCATCAGTTGGTTATGTCTTAATGGGCCAAGAGATGAATATTTGGTGTACGAACATTTTTGAATGCATAGTTTAGGTTTAATAGTTCGAATGCCTATCGCCTGCCTTAGCTGTGTACAGCAGACAAATACTAAGTCCATTGGAAAGATTTGGTTGGATGCGACGAATTACTTTGAAAGCTCTCGTCTCCTCTATCACTATCCACTAAATGTGAGCTAAAAATTGTTTTTGTCTGTCCTTTGCCGGAAAACAATGGAAGATGTTGACCAACAAGTTGGCTAAGCCGCGTATTATTAGGCTGAACATAACTGTCACAGCAGGTGCAGTTGAATTGATAAACGCACGTGGGTATGGCAAAACTATCTAAGTTATCCTTCGTTCGCGTCCCAATCATTCGTCAGCTACAGAATGACAAACATAGGTATTCTGCATAAAGCATTCTTCGTATATTCCTGGAAAGTCTCTGGGATAAAATCTCACTTGACAAGTCACCATTTAACTGTAACTTAATAAATAGAGGTTTCTTACGGGGAGCCATAGTCTCAGGTTTTCTCTCCAATGTTTTCAATATGTTTTTTTATGAAACTAATCGGATACCCCATCTCTGTCAAAGAATCCTGAATATATCCAAATCGTTTTGTAGAGGTCATCCGTACTTATCTTTCTTGCTCTGCATGTAAGACATTTACCAACATTTCTTTTATATTTAATGGTCACGTAACTAAGGAAGTGTGTGTATTGCCCTGTGAATGTGCTTTTTCTATACACGCTTCTCCCAAGTGACCTATCTTCTCACCTAATCAGCAAGACATCCAGAAAAAATGTAGTTTGCTATCCTGCTCGTCTTCACAAGTAGAAGTAAGTGAAGTGTGGATGTTGTTGAATTTCATCAACAGTTCGTCCATGTTTGCAGTCCCATCAACTAAGATAAATGTATCATTGATATAATGGTAGCACATATACAACTCCTTGATGATGCCTTTCACTCTCCCGTTTTCAAGCTTTGCGAAGAAGTCTGCTAATATTGGGCATAATGGTGAACCCATAGATATTCCATCTATGGATAACATATGTTCTTATATATATATATGAATTTCTTTTATTTTCATACTGTTGGCAGCTGTCAACTAGCGCAGTTTTGAACCTAGTCAGTTTATCGTCCGATGATGGGGTGAGGTCAGAAGTTTGAAAATACAAATTTTCTAACTGTATGTCAGTCAACTTTAGGATCATAGTCACTAAATTTAGGACCTAGGAGGAGCCATGGATTTCTCCATTGGTATTCAGTAGTTCAACGAATTATTTTCAGCTGGTATCAAAGTCACTCGTAAAATTTTTTAGTTCTTAATTGAAAATAATTTAAATATAGTTCCAGTTCATATTTCAGTTTACGTACAATTCACTCAGACACACATACAAAATGCTCAGGATAATGAGTATTACACATAAAAAAATAATCTACCATGGGTCCAGCAATTTGATGTCTTTTTTTAAAAGGCTATAACAACGAATTCAATGTTCAATTGTTCAGTTGTTTAAATGTTCCATTCATTTTTTTATACTCTTTACAGCCAAATTTAATCAGTTCACAAACATATGGTAAGGCTTTGAATCTTGAAATAAATACGATAGCATAAGCATTTGAAAAAAATATATTCACTTACGCAAAGATGATTCATTCTGTAAAACAAGCTGAAATTGAAATAAATTAGGTCAAATTAATGTAACATACCTCAGTGATATACTTAATTGAATTTCTGAGTGTAGTGGTGTAAGATTTCATCGAATAATTTAAGTGTAAGATAACGTCTGTGTAGAGTTAAAGTATCTGACTCTTGATATGAGGATTACACGAGCTATATAAAACGTTTTAGGAAAGATTTGTAGTGCACCTTCAGTGTTTAGAGTTTTTCTTTTAACGCAAACATGTACGATGCCCCTACGCCATCTGTTTTTACTTGGGTGTGCTTCTACGCTGTGGTGGTAACACCCACATTTCTCGAAGTCT